GGGGGGGGGGTTGCTGTTAAACTCTCGTATTCTACTTATCCTAAGTTAGAACCGGTCTTTTCGAAGATGGGTTCTTTGCTTGCGCAACGAAAAGAACAAAAATGGATCTGAGAGAGAATGTTCAAGATGATATTCTGCAGAAAGTTCAGATTCTTCTCAGCTTTGAGTTTTGGACATCCACATTGATACTTGCAGGTCAATGATATAACATTCCCACCCTGATGGTCAAGGGTTTAACTTTCTGACCACTGATGGTCAAGTGTATAACATTATCACATTCTTAGCACTGATGGTCAAGTGTATAACATTCTCACATTCTCACCAGTGATGGTCAAGGGTATAACATTCTCACCACAGATCGTCAATGGTATAACATTCTCACCGCTGATGGTCAAGGGTATAACATTCTCACCCTGATGGTCAAGGGTTTAACTTTCTGACCATAGATGGTCAAGTGTATAACATTCTCACATTCTCAGCACTGATGGTCAAGTGTATAGCATTCTCACATTCTCACCATTGATGGTCAAGGGTATAACATTCTCACCACTGATGGTCAAGGGTATAACATTCTCAGCACTGATGGTCACGGGTAGAACATTCTCACATTCTCACCACTGATGGTCACGGTTAGAACATTCTCACATTCTCACCACAGATGGTCAAGGGTGTAACATTCTCACCACTGATGGTCAAGGGTGTAACATTCTCACATTCTCACCACTGATGGTCAAGTGTATAACATTCTCACCACTGATGGTCAAGGGTATAATATTCTCACCACTGGTGGTCACTGATGGTCAAGGGTATAACATTCTCAACACTGGTGGTCACTGATGGTCAAGGGTATGACATTCTCACCAGCGCTGATAAGACAACATAGTGGTGCCCATTTTGCAGGATCGGGTCGGGTCGCAACCTCACTCAAAATTAATGAAAAGAAAGAGAAATGGAGGGTGATTGGGGGGTTAATATTTTACGACCCCATCAATTAACACACGTTAGATGATTTTGGAGGCGGGCTGTTTTGACACTGCCTTTCAGTGCTCACACTCGAGATCAGGCTAAATAGAGTAGGGTACAGCATTCCCACAAATTGGATCTAAAGAGAAGATCAAGAAAAGCATTTCCCTATTTTGGAGAAAAAGGATTTCAGAAGAAAAAGAAATCTCCCCACGTCTTGGTTTTGCATCATTTTTCCCTTAGAAACTTGTACATGTAAAAAAAATGAAACGGTATTGGTTTAACGCCCCTATCAACACTGGTAGGTTATTTAACAGGCAGGATCTTCGAGTTTAACGTCCATCTCTGAAAGGACCGAGCCTAGTGAAAAATTCGTGTAAAGTGCCTTACCCAAGGAAACAACGTCGGACCGAGCTGAGGCTTGAACCCCTGAACCCGCAATCTCACGATTACAATTCCAGTAGCCTAGTAGTTAGTCTACCGACGCCGTTTTTATTTCAAATATTTGTGAAATAATCGAAGAAAAACTAAGTGCCATGCAGTAATATATTATTTTTATACCCCTGTCTCTAGTAACGCAGTCAGCCTGAGTTATGCAACTCTGTACATCAGCGGGGGGCACAGAGTCGTTCTGTATGGCGAGGATGCGGAAGTGTCGGAGAAAGTCACCGCAGACATCCAAGAGCTCCTGAGCACGTACGAGGAGAAGGGACTTCTCAAAGGGAGTTTGTCCAGGGCGGAGCAAGGGGCGCTTGTCTCGTGTTCTTGTAGCTTGGTGGAGACTGTGTCGGGGGCCTTCCTTGTACAGGTAACA